CCATTTGCAGCCTCAAACTGAAGCACATGTTTATAGCAGAAATACCATTGCTTTTGCTTGTTTTTTTTTTTTTTTGTTTTGTTATTTTTTTTTTGCAAGAAAATTGATCAATTCCGGCAACATATCATCATATCTCACGAAGGACTCCATGTATGTGTAGGGTCGTTTCCTTCGCATGACCACAGTGTGTCACAACGAGTTTGTCGTACAAACATAAGTTACAACGACAACGTGTTTATTCAACACCACCGTGTGGATCATCATTTAGAGCCTGGAAAACAAACAAACACATAGGAACACCCATGGGAGGGAGAATTTCGTGACAGAGCTGTTTGGAATGATGTGTTCTGGATGTCCTACAGATAAGCGCATGCTATATATTAATTATCTGCACAAAGACCGCACCGCTTCGCATGGCATGACGACGCCCTGAATAGGAACACATAGGAAAAACCTTCATGTGATGAGAGCAGTGTCTGGACTGTTAACAGTATACGCTGTAATTGATAGTTACCTATTCAGGCGATGATAAAGATATTCTAGTAATTGATATATGCATTGCAATGCTATTGCTTTATTAGAGTTTTGAATTATTCTGAATTTCACCTTTACATGTATCCTATTTTTTGGGATCATAGCAATTGCTAATAAGTGGAATACGTCATTACAATACCTTAAATTACTAGTGACAATACCCGAGGAAGTTCAAACATAACGAGTATAGGCAAAGTGGATATAGGCAAGCAGACACAACTACTACAGACAAGCCTTGGAACTCGACGCATAGAATCATAGTACGCGCAGACAAACCCTGATACACAAATACAGGTAAACTCTGAAACGGTATCCAAGGTTATTCTTTATATATTTACACAGTCGTGAACTTTCGAAATATAACAGAAATACCATCATATCAACAAAATCTTAATTCAACTTCGATGAAACTAGGACAAAATATGGACAAAAGAAAGACTTACGAGGAGACTCCTGAAAATATACTAGGATACAGATGTTCCGTAAGAGTAAGCGTCTTTTGCTTCATTAACGTCACCTGCCATGCAAATCTTGGTCAGTCATCCACAGTAGTCTACACTGCAGGTGACTATTGTTAATATCGTCTTTCTTCTTCATGCAGTTATCTTCCACAATACTTACCTTATTGAGCGTTCGTCCTTTGGCCGAGATATACCGTAGTCTATAAAACAAGGCAGTGACCACTCCCTGCTTAACTTTCCAAAAACAAACGGACTCAAAGCAAGCACTCATCTCGCATACATGGGGAGACTTAGCTTTAGGATGGACGTTAAATATAGAAGCAAACTATTCAAATTTGCAAAATATCGAAGTTGTTAACCAAGAGGCCTATATAAAAGTGTTTCTCCCCTTTTTTTGACATATATCGACTAATTCTGATTTTTATTACATTCTTAGCATTGAAATATAGGAATATCTCAAACTGATAAAAGTGATATTTTTTGATAGTGAAAAATATCACTTTTTTGATATTTTTCACTAGTGAAAAATATCGCTTTGAGGATTGACCAATCAGAGAGCCCAATACAAATCTACTTGGATGGCGCCATACTTTTTCATGTTCGAAAAATTAATCAAACATTGTTTTTATTTTTCAGTTAACGTTTAAACATTTTATTGTGTATAAGTGACATCAATAAATTACAAAATCCATGTCCAAACACAAATAAACATTCATTATGATTTATTTATGAGTCTATAGTTTTACTGATTTTTCATAAAATAGACTATTTTTTGCGGCACACAACATTGTTGTATAATGATTGAGCAGTGTCTGGAAAAAACATGGTCAACTTACCCATTTTATAGTTATCGTAAGTTTGCCATTGTTTTGGTTTATTTTTGCGATGAAAATGTAATAAACAGAATATTTAATAGTGTCTTCAGTAATAACAAATATATTTCACTCGTGTGGCTAATATTTTTGGAAAGATACCAAAATATTAGCCACACAAGTGAAATATATTTGTTATTACTGAAGACTATTAAATACCCTGTATCTCTCACTCGCCTCATATTTTTTTTCATAGCTTTAAGCATCTTGTCTCACTGTCGCATGCAAGGACAACAGTTGCATGAATGTCTTTAATTCATTATTTTGCAATACTGTTTCTTATTTAATGTTTGTATAAAGAGGTGCTTTTTTGCTTGAGTAAACCTCCCACATTAACTTTGGTAAGCAGGAATAGTAGGCTTCCTTGACCACATGTAAATTCCACACATCAAAGAAAACAATACACTACTTTAAAAATTCAATATATTTGTACCTTTGTCAGCAAAAAGTTTATCTTTTCTATGCATATTGGTTGAGAATGTGATTCGTCCCTTATTATCTAAGATCCGATGATATTCCATTTTTCCACCAATTGGCAAAGAATGTTTGCTCGATATCTTACTACACTGTACTCAAATTGAACATTATTATGTAGATATAAATGACCGTATGATATACTGACATTAGACGTATACGGTGTGTTATCGAAGGATGCCATTCCCCTGCCTGTCTTTGAGTAAAAAAGTAAGTATTATGATGTGAGGTAGACCTTTTTACTTGTGTTGTTACAATTATCAAATTTCTCTGCTGTTCATTTGCTGGTAATGACGACATTTTGTGTTGAATTTATCGTAAGACAATTTTGCAGCACCTTGTAGGTTTTAACGAGCAATGGCAGTTTCCGTTGCCACAGTGAATTTAATCTATGATAATAATTGGTTTGCCTCGTCTGCTGGAAAACACAGTATATCATTTGCCTTTCTTTTGCCTAATCATTTTCACAACCTTATTTCAACATCCAGTAAGCAGTCTGTCTGTCTGTCTGTCTGTCAGACTTTATGTATTGTTTTTTGTGCAATTAAGAAGCAATGAATCAATTAGTTTTTGAAATTGGTTTTTATCTGCATCAAAATTGTTTTCCTACACGCCAGTTGTTTTCCTTCACGCCATCAGCTGTTTTCCTACTCTCCAGTTATTTTCCTAGTTTCCAGTTGTTTTTCAATTCGCCAGCTGTTTTCCTACTCGCCAGCTGTTTTCCTACTTTCCAGTTGTTTTCCTACTCCTACTCGCCAGCTGTTTTCGTACTCTCTAGTTATTTTCCTACTCGCCAGGCGTTTTCTTACTCGCCAGCCTTTTCCCTACTCTCCAGGTGTTTTCCTACTCCTACTATCCAGTTGTTTTCCTACACGCCAGTTGTTTTCCTAGTTTCCAGTTGTTTTTCAATTCGCCAGCTGTTTTCCTACTCGCCAGCTGTTTTCCTACTTTCCAGTTGTTTTCCTACTCCTACTCGCCAGTTGTTTTCGTACTCTCTAGTTATTTTCCTACTTGCCAGGCGTTTTCTTACTCGCCAGCCTTTTCCCTACTCTCCAGGTGTTTTCCTACTCCTACTATCCAGTTGTTTTCCTACTCGCCAGCCTTTTTCCTACTCTCAATCCAGTTGTTTTCCTACTCGCCAGCCTTTTTCCTACACTCCATCCAGTTGTTTTCCTACTCCTACTCGCCAGCCTTTTACCTACTCTCCATCCAGCTGTTTTCCTACTCGCCAGCTGTTTTCCTGCTCTCCAGTTGTTTTCCTACTCCTACTCGCCAGCTGTTTTCCTACTCTCCAGTTGTTTTCCTACTCCTTCTCGCCAGCTGTTTTCCTACTCGCCAGCCTTTTTCCTACTCTCTAGTTGATTTCCTATTCGCCAGCTGTTTTCCTTCTCGCCAGCTGTTTTCCTACTCCTTCTCGCCAGCTGTTTTCCTACTCGCCAGCTGTTTTCCTACTCGCCAGTTGTTTTCCTACTTGCCAGCCTTTTTCCTACTCGCCAGCTGTTTTCCTACTCTCCAGCTGTTTTACTACTCGCCAGCCTTTTTCCTACTCGCCAACTGGTTTCCTGCTCCTACTCGCCAGCTGTTTTCCTACACTTTCTTTCTAGTTGTTTTCCTATTCGCCAGCTGTTTTCCTACTCTCCAGTTGTTTTACTACTCGCCAGCCTTTTTCCTGCTTGCCAGCTGGTTTCCTGCTCCTACTCGCCAGCTGTTTTCCTACACTTTCTTTCCAGTTGTTTTCCTATTCGCCAGCTGTTTTCCTACTCTCCAGATGTTTTACTACTCGCCAGCCTTTTTCCTACTTTCCAGTTGGTTTCCTACTCTCCAGCTGTTTTCCTACTCTCCAGTTGTTTTACTACTCGCCAGCCTTTTTACTACTTGCCAGCTGTTTTCCTGCTCCTACTCGCCAGCTGTTTTCCTACACTTTCTTTCCAATTGTTTTCCTATTCGCCAGCTGTTTTCCTACTCTCCAGCTGTTTTCCTACTCTCCAGCTATTTTCCTATTCTTCAGCTGTTTTCTTACTCTCCAGCTGTTTTCCTACTCTCCAGTTGTTTTCCTACTCTCCAGCTATTTTCCTATTCTTCAGCTGTTTTCTTACTCTCCAGCTGTTTTCCTACTCTCCAGTTGTTTTCCTACTCTCCAGCTATTTTCCTATTCTTCAGTTGTTTTCCTACTCTCCAGCTGTTTTCCTACTCTCCACTTGTTTTCCTACTCTCCAGTTGTTTTCCTACTCTCCAGCTATTTTCCTGCTCTCCAGTTGTTTTCCTACTCTCCAGTTGTTTTCCTACTCTACAGCTGTTTTCCTACTCTCCAGTTGTTTTCCTACTCTCCAGCTGTTTTCCTGCTCTCCAGTTGTTTTCCTACTCTCCAGCTATTTTCCTACTCCTACTCTCCAGCTGTTTTCCTACTCTCCAGCTGTTTTCCTGCTCTCCAGTTGTTTTCCTACTCCTACTCTCCAGCTGTTTTCCTACTCTCCAGCTGTGTTCCTACTCTCCAGCTATTTTCCTACTCCTACTCTCCAGCTGTTTTCCTATTCGCCAGTTGTTTTTCTACTCTTCAGTTGTTTACCCACACACCATTGTTTCCGAGTATATTGCTTCTGACTACAACAACGATACTTAATATTTCCGTCATGTACCACAAAACGACAAATTTCAAAAATATTTTTTATGCATCTTTATTTACTTTTTAATTTTTTTCAAAATATGACATTCAATGTAACACAGGTAAATTACATAATGTTGTTGTCTTAATTCAATTATTGAAGATGTGTTGTTTTTGGAAGCGATATCACTAATTGCAGTAACGTTTGAAGGCAAATGACTTATAGTGGCATTCATTGGTTTATTAATGTCTATATCCTACTTGTATGTTCGAGCTATTCTCATCATGGTTTCTTTATTTGTCTGAAAGACTCCTTACAGCCACAATTGTGGTCTCTTTATGAGATATATGTATCGTTAATACTTGTTTATTGTGCTGGACACATGTCTGCTGTTCTCGACTTCCTGAATTATACATCTTTACGAAATGGTTTCTTTCGTACATTGGTATTTAAACTGCCTCAGAGCGATGTCAACATCAACCTTGTCGGAATAAACAGAACAGACAGTTCAATGGAAAATCGATGGACAGATATGTGTCCATAATGAACTCAATCATCTCCTGTTGAAGTGTGGGGTGTCGCGTCATTTACCCAGAAATACCGTATGACCTTCACTAGTCACCAAACCTGGCACTTAACTCAAAATAAATGTATTTCCCCGTGAATACATTTGCTGCCAATCAAACTAATAGTATTATCACCAGTGTAGGCTCTCACATCACGATAACATAATAATGCAGTGTAAACATAAGAACGAAAAGGAATGTCCCATGTTTCATAGACAGCGGAGATGATTTGCTTGCTACCTCTTAGATTTCTATGTTTGATATATATAGAAGAGGTTTAAATCACTACTGTTACGCTGCCTTGTCTCGTGACGCCTTTAACTTTCCTTCATATCATGTTAATTGTTATTTGTAATATTGATACAAATAGCACTTATTTGCGTTATTTCATGATTTTGAATCTATTGTAGCTAGAGTCGATACTCGAAGGACGCCCTACGAAAAAATATTACATATTACTGGTACATATTCGAAAAGCTGTATCACTGTCGAACAGAACGTGATGGTCTATAGATTGATGCCTTATCATATGCGCTTTACACAAATTTAGCAATACATCAAATGTACAACATAATCACATTTCCGAACGTTTCATACAATTTCTATTAACGTTTTACACATATTCACAGTCACAAAGGTCACTCGTCTGACCACAGTGATGGACAACCTCCATGAAACACAAAATTAGCCTCCTGCATATTTCATGAGTTTGTGGTAGCCGATGTTTGAACTTTGACGATCCTCACAGCAGCCGGTACCGCCCTGTGTTAATGTAATATACTGGTGTAGATGATGACTCACATAATTAGCAAGATATCATGTATGATTGATGACCGATACAATCGGGCAAACGTTTAATCATACAACCAAACTGAAGTGATGTATGCTGAAACAACACAATAATTTACTTCAATATGGAATTGTGTTTAGTGCTTCAAAAAGAAAAGGAAAAATAAACTCACAGAATATTTACAAAGAAAATATGAAAGTTATCATCAATATATAATTATCATTCAAGAAATACACACAAGCGGCTAATTAACTGATATATATATATATATATATATATATATATATATATATATAGAGAGAGAGAGAGAGAGAGAGAGAGAGAGAGAGAGAGAGAGAGAGAGAATTTCATGCTTCCTCGTGGAATATCAATACTTTTTACAAATGAGAAACACTAATGAAAACATGTATCTCCGTTACACAAGTTATATATATAACAGAAAGTAGCAGTACAATTAATAGAATTATCAGGAATGAACACAATAATTTTTACGTCTTTTAGAAATGACGTTATGCTTGACCACAACACATCGCCACTTTCAATTGGTAGCTACATAGATAAATCACCAGTGTAACACCATCCATAGCGATAAATAAAATATTACTGCAGTAATGATAGAAGCTTAATTCAATTGGTATCTGGTGTTTTTATATTACACAAGCAACAATGTAGTGAATTGTTTTTTTTCCCTTTGCAATATATCAAACCTATCATAAACAGCAAAGCAACTCATTTAAAGGGATATATTTATTATTAAAATGTGGTCAGTCCCGTTGACCATCCTCACACAGTTTTTTATAAGATGTCGATTATGCTGTCATTGTCTATAATGTTGAATGTTTACATCAGGAATTTTGGACAACAGTAGGATCTGCGTGCAACATGGAATATTTACACAGGAAACTGCTTTTTTCAACACGAAATATCTACATAGAACCTGTGTTAAAAGAATATTTATATACGTTACTGTGTACAATACTGCTAGCTGTGTGAGATGTTGTTTCATTATTCGACTTATGTATCTGATTTTATCAAAAGATGCTATTAACTTGTGTCTTCTTTCACAATTTTCAAGAAGTAATTTCAAACATAACATGAAAATGTTGAGCATTCACTCCTGACTTGCGAAACCATATGTCACAGTTAACATTCGCACATTAGAACAGTGTACAACATAGTTAATCTCAAACAAAGTGCACGATCAGGACCACTCTCGAAGCACTTTGTACGAGCTGGAAGTATTCGCTAAACCCATTATAAGTCTATATATGGCCTAGAAGAAGGTTTGTGAGTCTGTCAGACGTTTTACAGCATTTAATCATCTTGACAACCAATTGCGCATTGTCTGGTAATGATTTACTTAGTACATATTACCCATGACCTTATAAAATCTGAATTATCGGAAACGCCTTTTCTTCAAACGTCGGATGCACTTAGAATGTGTTTTGTCTGTCGAGTTTGTAATGAAAGTCAGATGTCAACAGCCATCTAGGTTCAAAGGTTATCACAATTCAAAATTGTTGGTTTCGCATGAATAGGCCAGGTATATCTATAACATAAATAAACACATAAATTTTGTTTTGTTTTGTTTGAAATATCAAAATTCACAGTATATGGTCAAAGTGAATTGTCCAAATTCATTATTAAAACAACCTTAATAAAAACTAAAAAAATCAATGCGTCAAATAAACGCCTCGAATCACAAAACTGCTAATGGAAAACACGTCAAGTTCCTCATGCGAATGATTTTGTAATCAACACCAAAGAACAGATGTTATTCGCATTAATTGATGTTTTTATTGTTGTCATGTGTTGACGGATAATGTTTTGGGTTCGCTGCTGGAAAAATGCCAAGATCAGCGTAACAAGTACACAGTTATGTGTTTATGCAATAGACATGGACGTCTTGAATCTGTGTGATATAGATGGAATATTCCATCGGGGTTTGCAAAGGTTAAAAGTCAATTGCAACGGTAACTGTAAATATTATTTTATGACAGTAATAGGTGCACCATAATGCCATACTTCAGACGTATTAATTTTCATCTTAAAACACAATGACAGAGCACTACATCCCTTACTCCATTATGTCCTATCTTGTTTATGATGTAGTATGGACGGCCTTGTAACAAGTGGAGTCCGATGATGAAGAACATACGAAATGAATATGTAATCATATTTGAAAAAAACAAAATGTACTTTCTTCAGTGGCAAAAGAAAACACCCGATCGGCCAGATTATTCTGGCAACCGGTCAACCAATCTCATTAACTCATTAAAACCCTTTAAAGAATATGAGATTTTGTATAGAAAAAAAATCTTTTCATTCACTGCTGTTATGTGTCATATTTTTGTGCAACACTGCCAATCACCCAACATCCATAATGGAAATGTTCATTATAAAAACATTCTTATTGAAACACTGCAAACCATGATTTATATGTCTTGTTTATTTAGGATATCGTGTCTTCGGTTATATAGATTAATGTAATATCTATCATTCCTTCCTCGCCTCCAATATTATCAAATATTATCATATATATCGGCATACCTTACCTCAGTATGATAACACTGTATTAAGCCATCAGCGGAGTGTCGTCTACATAGACCTTCTTTTATCGGGCTCTCTTATTTTTTATCAAATGAAGTGGTGCAATAAGATGTAAAAAGACGGCTGTGTTCCTGCTTAAAACGACCCCATGTTGTTTCTCTGAAGTATAATCCAACAGGCTCTTGTGACGCTTTGACAGTCAGCCTGTATTACGTTTACACTTCTCGCAGAGACAATCATCACGTCTTGACATATATAGCTGAGTACTTTAGGAGTTCCACTGGTATTCACAACGGCATTGCAGATAATTTTACACTCGATAAGAGTCTGTTAACGTAGAAAAACTCTGATATCACGAATGACTCGGAGCGATTTCATTTGACAGTCATTCCCATCTTACAAACCTGATATGAATATACGTTTCTTTCTCATTATATATTGTGACAGAATTACAGACCTTCTAGTACTTTCCTTTGGCACAAATCGACTCTCTAAAACGCTTGAGGGACCCTTTAAATTTGATTGTTTCTTATAAATATCAACGATGAGTAATCGTGAGCGCTGTCTGGTATCAGATTATAGCACCAATTAGCAGGGAAACAGTCGTAGGTGGATGAGATTAAGATTTTAGATACTACAGCCATATACTATTTCAATAGTTAATTTTTGGTATTAAACCCACTCTGTATATGTGAAAATTTACAGAACAAATTTTTAATAAAGAGCGGCTAGATGGTATACCCACACAATAGACTTAAATAATCTCCTCATCTATTAAATATGTGTTTCCTCGATACAAACAAGTAAAATTAGTTTCTGCACTGGATTTCAACATCATGCACGTGCTTTTACATAACCCCGTGTTTACAGATATACCATATAACAGTATTTATTACAAGATAGAAATATACACAAAGCAAGGTTGGTTGTGAAATGAACAAATAACCACTGAGTAACGTTTTGATAGTAGTCATAGTATTTTCAATCAACTTTGCAAAATCTTACAACTGGAGATTTAATTTAGTATATATTATTTCATAACAGGTCATATCGACAGAAAAAAACAGAAAAGAAACGAAACATTACAGACAATGTAAATATTTTCTGGTAACAATATTTCATTATCATTTTTATATTAAACACCTTACTTATTAGCTGTGATATTGACAAGAAATTAACACACTGACTGTCTCGTTTTTGAAATAACGACAAAACTGACGTCAACAACGCAGATGGCTTGTAAATTGCTTCCAGTTAATATAATTGTTCATGAATTATAGCAAATTGGATACTTTTGCTTAGCTTCGTGAAAAAGTACTGATTTTAATTTCAATCTTTCGGATTTGTAGATGGTAACGTCTCTGTCATCTCACTGTCTAGGGTTTATCTGTCGTAGTTGTTCTACGGCTTATTCAAAAGATGTCGATATCCTACTAAAAAAAATGCAATACGGATTGTTGAATATTTTGATGATGGCTCTAGGGAAATTTAATGTTTCCTTCTACGATATGAGATTTAGTGGCCATATATATCATGGTAGTTCGTTATCACCATCCTTGTTCTGTATTCGATTATGTCATAATGCTTAGGTCTGTAGAGCGTGTACAGGAAGCAGAAAACATGCATACCTCCAAGCTACAACTTTTTTGTTTTCAAGGATCTTCCGGCAAGTATTTTTGGTTTATAGTTTGTTAGTTATCTATCATGAGTTACAATTCCACTGTGTACACGACAGTGTGATCATTTAAATTTGGACTTAATCTCTAACACAGTGCAGCTTCTGATATGTGGTAATATAATTCCTTAAGCAGAATAACAAAAATCACAATGTTTGCCTACTGTCAAATTAATCCATTAAAGTATATCTGAAATGTACATGTTATTCCTTGTATTTCGCAGTCAAAATATGAGAAGGCAAAACGTGAGTCGCTTTAGATGAAATATCATATAACATATATCACATGTGAAATACGACCTGACGGAAATCTGATTGACAGAAGATTTCCATTGTTCCATTGTGACTCCATATCGGCATGTGCCTTGTGATGGAATAAGTTTTAATGTATATCAGTCCAATCACATGTTATGAATGGAAACTCATGTAAACTCCTTTTAAAATAGCAAATAACATAACAAACACATGTTTGCTACTCACCGAAAACGTATATAAATTCTATACGACTATGAATGTGAACATCAAAACCTAACGGAATGTTATTTATGTAACCTATGCTCTGTTTGCCATCTGCAGTGCTAAATAAAGAATATATCGATCCTGTCTGATGCAAAATCCTGATGAATGATACTATCATAAGCATGTATTCAATCAGAATGCATTTTACGATGCTAATAGTATTAACTTTGCGATAAACAGCCATATTAACATCTTTTTCATATGACAACGATCAAGACAGAGCTTAACATACTAAACTATCCAATAACAATATGATAAAGATATGGCATCTCAAACCTTTACCTGTAGACCTCTCAACATCGCCTTAATGTATTTTCTCTATCAGTACATTGTTTCTACCTTTTGCAGTTATAACAAAACAAAAATGTGACGACAGATAATAGGTCAAGAAACACGTAGTGACGAATTTTCTAGATTTCATTTCTTTGTCAATTTTTTATTCACTCGAATACCGGCATAGGTCAGAACATACTTATGCACTATTATCAAATGTATGAAAATAACGTTATGAAGTTGCTGCATTCCCCCATTATGAATTTGCATTTCTGTTAAGTCTTAGATTTCCTTAGTCGCCTACTAGGTTTCAAAAACAACAAGGAAATATCAGCGCGTCAACAATATCATCATCAAACTCAACTTTAACGAAGGCAAAGAACAATGAGAAGATTCATATGGGTATGGAGACTCATGAAAAAACTAGGAGAATAAGACCAAGTGTTCCAGAATATCGGTTAATCCAAGTAGGTAATGTCACGTTCTCAAATGAGAACAAAGTATACGACAACGGAACCAGAGGCAAAGTAACGAGCACCAATACGTCCAGCTTCACATCTCACAAAGAAATGGAATATTTCTGTCAATGAGATCACTATGACAACCTTATATGCCCTCTTTATCATATTTGTTTTTGGTTGTGATCTGCTCGCTACCTGTTGCGTTTTAACATAAGTTGTGTAATATGGCTGACTTCCGGTTTGCTTTCTTTTGTTTTGCCTTTCCTTTAGTTGTTTAATTTAATGCTTTCACTTCCGTTGTGTAATCGCTGTTGTTTCCTATTCCATGTCTTTTCTATGGTAAATATTACTATAGACGTCAGGTATTTATAACTTTGGCTATATAATGGTGCATGGTAGTCACATCGTTATGCAGACACTACATAGCAATCTTATGATAACATAACTTGACCTTATGTTTTAGTTACATCGTAATGCAGATTTCAGACTATTTGATGTGCCATTTAACACCATTACAACAATATCGTTCTTGTCAATGCTGAAGGAAGTTGTTGACCTTTAAATAAATAGTGCCTGTGAAATACCCCCGTGAACTGACAAACACCCTGTCCTACATACACAACACTTGTCAGACATCCTCGGCCGGGAACCTGAAGTAGTATGAAGTGGATTATCGTCCTCCCGCTATCACCAATGATATGAAGGTTAGTGATATCATGGGGAACTCTTTAGAATATTATCCTTTAGGCGTTTTATCGAATTTACTTCAAATAAGAATTTCTGTACAGGACTGTTTGACTCATACCTTATCACCAATGTTTCTGGTAAAGATTATGATGATTTTTTTATTCAATGTTTCTTCATAGTGTATCTCGTCATTGATTTTTCAACTTACCTATCATGTTGCCTGAACATCTCATGAACACAAAACACTGCTGGATAGACAAGTCTTTTTTTCCAGAATGTTTTAATTATAAATAAATATTACTTTCATTATTTGATTTATTGGATATATCTTATTCTAAGTTTCAAACGATTGAAAGATTAGCTTGTAACCGAATGCAGCTATGTAATTATTTACAAACACTGGCAGTCAGCTCACATTGTCTCCGCCATTCATTCTGAATAGATCAATGTTTAAAGATAACATAAGTTGAGATTACCGTTGTCTACGGTGAAAATGTTTAAGAAAATGAAACTACAGTCAACAGCTAAAGTTGATTGTAATGTCGGCACAATTTAACGGTTCTGGAGGTAAGTAGAAATGTACAGAAATAAATAAAACATTTTTAAATACGAATAACATCAGCTTTTAAAAAATTCAACTGTTGTGGTGACTTGCTCTTGTGCTTTGTAATGTATAACAGCACTCTAACTCGTGATATATATATATGTGCTTTGTTTTAATTTAAAACAGGTGGTACTTTCCTCCGTATTACCTGATCTATTCCTTCGGCTAATGTGACCTTTGGAAACGGAAGGTCTGATTCATTTGTTTACTTGCCTGATCCTGGATAAACAACCTACATAGGGAAACATACTATTATATTGCTGCAAGCTAGGGAGTAGATTGAAATAGATTCCAGTCGTATATGTATTTGGTGATTGATGTATCTTTACATGACCTTGACCCTGAACAATCGTCTTTGTTTTTATCAGAAGAATCCTCACTAACTATTCATTTTTGTAAACTTTTACTGCCTGTATATACTTGCTCTTTGGCATATCTTCCATCAACCATTTAATTTATATGTGTTTCATAAAAAATTATTCATTTTAGTCAATGACATTGATCATATGGCATGCATTATATATTAAAAAAACATATCTATGGTGTTTACTTTGTACATAATGTAGTCATGCCAACAAGAAATACAGTAATATCGAATGTTTTTGAATCTTTAGTGTTTTTGCATTTGTAGTAAAGACATCTACAAAATGTTTTAACAATATAATAAATCTAGATCGACGTTTAGTTTGTTTGTTTATTTTTTATTTTTTGTTTTCTGTTTTTGTATTTTTTGGGTTTTTTTTTCAGTTCTACTTGTTTATATCAAAGCGATTTCTGAACTGGACGTAAATATAAACAGTATCTGAGAATTTAATCTCAGCACATTTGAATTGAGATGGCCTTTGTTCCTTCAAAGTTCTCATATCAATTTTTGCATAAAATGTCTTTTTAAACCTTGTCATAAATTCAAAAACCTTTCCATTGGAATGTGTCATCTTTCATTGTGAGCCTTTGAGCTTTGGCGATATGTTCTGAAATGGGTTTGTATTTTAATGCTGCCAATGCGTCATTAAATAGTCATTGGTGCTAGTAAGCAATTAAATATGCATTAGAATGCGAATAATTTGTTTCTGCAAAAAGTTAAAATAAGAAATGAACAGCTTCTATGATGACAT